CAGCATCAAGAAGTTCTCAGGGCTCTGAATCGTGCTTGTTTTGCTGTCTAATGTGCCTCTTGTGAGCTGTGAACTTTGTAGATGGAAAACCTTCTGGTGGAATATCTTACAAGAACAATGCAAGTGAACTGGCTGTTTCTAGATCATTAAAGCTGATGGTTTTCACCTGCTGGGATCTTTAATTTTCCACCTGCTGAAATCAGTGGAAGCTTTTGGCTCTAATCTGAAAGTTTACCAGTTAGTATACGTCTCCCTAACTCCACTCACCTTTCTCAGACGGTACCAGAGCTCAGCTCTTGTCAAACAAACTGGGTTTCTTTTATGATCACAAAGGGTTTAACACAGTGCCAAGTAAGCTCCTCATGGTAAGGATGGCTTTCCATATGCCCTTAGGCTGGTTCTTCATCTGCAATAGCAGATTAAGTTGGTGGCATCTAGCTTGTGGCTTCCCCACCCAGCAGAAGTAACCATTACAAACAACAGCTTAGGTCAGGTCACAACTAAATGCCTACCCTGAAAGCATCCCATTGTATATGGGGTGGCATCCCAAAACTAGTCTTGACTGTGAACAGTCAATCAGGGCATCGTAGCTTGTGATATGTCCTTTTTTTTCTCCCCTTCAGAGGGGGAGCGGTCAAAGTTGCACTCATCTGGCCTGACTATGGCAGATGTAGAGCTTACAAGGAATTACAGTTTAGCCCAATCAAAAGAACTACTGGAGGGGTGTCTTTCAGGGTGGTTCTCTCAAGAAAATCTGAGAATGGCTTGATGAACAGAACAAAAGACAGAATTTGTCCTGATAATCTCCTAGGGCAAAGACATGAAAGAGATCAGGACAATACTCATGAAATGTACGCACAACACCTTAAAACTTCTTTCAAAGAAAACATCTTTTATTATTTTTATACGTGCTAGATCAACGGAGCAACTCTGGAACTGGGTCGAAATTAATACGAAATCTAAAACAATCAGAGCTTGTGATTTCTCTGTATGATAGGTAATCACTCTGCTACAGTCTACATGATATAATCTGAAACATTACCCATTTATTGGAGGGAAAAAGATACACCAGGGTTAAGACTGGAAGAAAGGGGACTGTAGTGTTATACGACTCCCTGAACAGCAGGGTAGTAGTTGCATGTGTCCTGTGGAATAAAGGAGTTGGCCTCTCTGCCCACCATGTTATTGCAGGACATAAAAGCGCTCTGCTTCAGACCCAAAACAAGGTCTACTCCTCCTCTGGTTCCTCCCTGCTATTCTCAGTTGCCTCACCTCACTGCCTACTCCCTTTAGGCTTGACTAAAACCCATCCATCTGTGGAAGATGGAGTTGTTGGGATCGGGTCTTCACCATGTTTGTTGTATAGGGCAGTGCACCATATAAATATTAAGGTATTACACCAGCAAGTGAAGTCCCCTCTCCTGCTTGGTCCCATAGTCTGCACAGATGTATGCTTGCTCCAAATGAGAGAAATACGGCTTCAGAAATACCACTTCTGTGCAATACATGAGACAAAGGAAAGGTTTTGTTCCAGCCACACTTGAAGCTAATTCCAGGAAGCTGCAGTTCCAAGGAAAAAGGATTTCACTGAATTCTAGCAATAACAGATGTCCATAAATGAACTGCAGATAAGCTAGAAGCCTGCACAGCACTCTAGCACAAAATGCTTGGAAGAGAGCATACCTCGCAAGCTCTTTCCTCTGTAAAAATCTTCCACAATCCAGTATCCAACAGCAGCTGGGGAACCCAGATTTCCTGCCCATCCACTGTGCCCAGGCAGTTCCTGGGCAGTGACCTGGACAAAGTGCACTGTTTCAAGGAGCTGAGCAGAGGAAGAGGGGAAAGCTCTCAGTGTTGCTCAGCCCATCTGACGAATTGGTGCACAGACCAACAAGCAGGGCCTTTTATGCAACCTTATTTGGTAAGAACTGGGGAAAGGGTACAAGTTTCTTCTAGATTTCTCCTCCCTCCCTCTGTCCAATTTCAACTCGCAAGTGAAGCATTTCTTGAATTCCTTATCACTGAAGTTCCTCCTACGCATTTTTAAGACTCCCAGAGCACTGTTTCAGCACCACCAACATGGTAAAAAAAAAAAAAAATCTGGACCTAAAAGCAGACTTGGAATCTGAGGCAGATTCACATCAGCCAGCTCACCTCCACTGCTGTTCCAAAGACGGAGATGCCTGGCTCACTTATGTGCAAATCCAAATCTCTTCCTTTCTTGAAGGAGGTGCTACCTCCTTCCTCTTGCTACCTACCTCACTTCTGGCTGAGATGTGCCGTGCATGCTGATATGAAATTACAAACCGCTTGTGATTTCTCAAAATTCTTCTGCGCATTCCTTCCACAACGCTACCACCATCATCAGAGCAGCAGCCGGTGCATCTGGCTCCATTGGGGATAGATTCAGCAGTGCTACACCCCTAAGGGAACACTGGTACCTTGTCTTTGAGTAACTGGCACCACCATCTTAACAAGTAACAAGAAAGAGCTCTGCCAAAGGTTACTGCACACAGATGGACAGACCTTAGTACTTCTGCCAATAAGTACCTACCAAATTGAAGACGTTATCGCCAGCAACCAGCTCTCTGAGGTCTATGTAATCACAGCCTAGAAGACAGTTCCCAATTAATCTTATGAAAGCTATCACCCAAGTTAGCAACTATTGCAAGGAAAGGGAGCATTCCTCTGTCTGCACTGGATGTCACCTCTGAAAAGTGAGGCTGAGGGACGCTGGAGCTAGTTTATGAATAAATGGGGTTTGAGCCTCCAGTTTCAGGCCGTGCACGCTGGGTCCGCAGCACAATTGTGACTGTGGAGATGCTCTGAAAGCTAAAAGACCTTCCCTACATTATATGCAAAGTCTTTCCCTGTACTTATCCTCCTGGGAACTGGAGACAAGTCCTTGTCTTGTGTAGGCAGATGAAATGGTAATTTCTTTTTCTCTCAGTGAAAGGCAAAAGATTCAAATCTAAGATTGTGTTCCTCATATTACAGCTGCTTTTAGAAGCAGCCAAGCAATTCTTGTCTTGATAAGACAAAGGAGAAGCACTAGCTAGTGCTAAGAGAGGAAGAGACTGCTTCCCACTATAGATTTCACAGGAGGGAAATTCACCCAAAGGGGTACTTTTCTGCTCCTATTCAGAAAATAAGGTATAGAGAAAGAAGCCACGGAGAAGGACCTCTTTGCCTGGGTCACTGACAGAGCACCCAGTGCCCTTCAGACACAGAGCCTGGCATAACGTAAGAAAAGAGCCCACTCTGCAGTGTGACCTTGCTAGGAAGACACATCAGTATCGAGAGGATGGAGAGCTGCTGAAGCAGCATGTCAGTGCACATGGATGCTGAGATCTTAATTAAGAACAACCCAAACTTTTGCGCAGAACATCTTGTTTGTACTCTAAGTATGGAGCTGCCGGGTAAAGCAGGAAGAAAGGAAGAGGAGGCAGAGCAGACCTATTTCTGATCTCTGTGTGGTGTGAGCTGAGCATAACAAGGAACACCAACTCAGTTGTGCTGGCTCCAAAGGCTTTCCGTCAGATACGCAGGCTGATATATGCTTTTAAAATCACAATGCTCCTCTGGAACTAAGGCACTCCTTGCTGAGCCAGTCTTTCACGTGGAGTTTCTCAAGCAATGCTTGCTTAACTTCTTTGGACTGTCTAAGGAGGCACAGGGCTTGATCTTTCTCTGGATAGCCCAAGCTAGGACAACAGACGCAATGGAAGGTGCATGTCATTAGGGATATGGAAATGTTCCTGGGCAGGCAAGTCCCAGCTGCTAATCCATGTTAGGGGGACTCTATCTGCGTGCTAAAGGAAGAGGAGGGAACAGGGATCAGACCATATGGGGTATCCCTGAGTTGCAAACCACACGAGGGAAGAGAGGAAAAAAATGAAGTGAAGGACAGACACATTTGTACTCTTAAAGATGAGGATAGGGGATTTGGAGCTCAGGATCATCAAGCCAGGATGGTTCTCCTCTTTCAATCCCCGTGTGCAAGAAAGCAGCAAAGGTGGGCTGTGACTCTTTCTGGTTGGCCCTTGCTCCAAAGAGGGGCCTCTCTTTGGAAGCCGTGCCAGCTGGAGCAGGTGGGTGACCCTTGCAACATTTGGGGTCAGGGTGTGTGCCAAAACAGCCTCTTGCTGCAACACTGAGTTCTGGGCAAAGACACCTCTGGAAATTCAGACTCCGTGGTGGTTTCCTCTGCTATTGAGAGCAGGCTGCTGGCTCCCCAGCGGGATGCGAAAATGCGGAAGTGTTCACAGAATGCTAAATAGCGGGGAGGAGGGAATAATATAACTTTCCCCTCGGCCCTGCAGCAAGTTGCTCTGGCTACTGCAGCTTCCTTTGAGGGGCCCTGCCTAACCATAGCTGCCGGAGAACTGCAAAATGGGACTTTGTTTCAGACTGACAGTGATGCAGTGGCAAATCCCCAAGCAAACAGAATTTGTTAAAGTCCATAGGCACTTATTCTTCATAAGGAGAATATTAAGACCTAAAGCCTTCCCTTGGCAGAGCATCACCACAACACAGCTTCTGGTACACTCACATCACAGACTGGACAAATAGCACATTGTACAAATGTACGTTGGCTGACGGTGGCTCCTTGCGCAGGGAAGACCTTCATCCTCAAACGCATCGTGAAGAGGAGGGTGGGCTTGCCTGATCTTCACGCACAAAGGGTGGAAAAGAAAGAACTCCGATGGCTGAACAAAACTGGGATTGCTGGGACAAGCCTTCTCCTTATACCCTGTTTCCGTTATGGCTCAATTATTGATGGCAGCAATGAACGTTCACAGTTGAAAGCCTGCTGGCAGCTGTCAGGATTGCAGATGAGTACCAATAAAAGCAAGAGGCTTTTAGTGCTGAGACAGGGAGTTTTCTTTCATGTTGGCTAGATTAGAAGATCACCCCAGGTCTCTCCCCATTCTTCCCCTCTTCCCTTTACAGTACATAAAATCCCTGACGGTAGATCTTTAGGCACACCTGTCTTAACCCTAGCTCCAGTTCTCCTTCTTGAAAGCAAGCTGCACAGCATCATTCACATCCTGAACTACATAAGATGCCTCCACCAGGCTGGGGTCAAAGCAGAAGTCCCGATGGCCATGGAACACCGTCTCTGTCGTGCACTCCTCCGTGTTACTGGGAACATCTGCATTGTGGCGGTAGACCCCAGTGCAGACCAGAATCGACTCGCAACTCTCCACTGAATTGCTGCAGTCCTTCCTCAGCTCGAGGTGATCCTCAGTTTGGGGAGCAGCTGCCTGTGGGCTCCTCTTCACCCCAGTCTGGACCTGGTTCTGGTGAGCTGACTTGAGGTAGTTGTTGTAGAGGTTTGCCCCATAGATATCGGACATAGGGTTATCCCTGGATAAGGTCACAGTGTGAAACAGAAATGAGAAACTAGCCCATGCATCGATTCCTGGCTCTGGCAGACTGGCATTAAGGCAGCACTGAGGGAGGAAGGGGCACAAGATATTTGTAACATCAAGAGAACCACCCAGACTGGACCAGTGGGTCCACCTACTGATGTGTCCTGTTCAGCTGTGGTGAAGGCCACATGCCCCACAAACATCTTTCAAAGAGGAAGAGACACGTCCAAAGCACCCATAGCAGTTTCAGCCATTCCTGTAATGTATACCCTACAATCCCAAAGTGTTTGGCCTAACGGGGCTAATGGTACTACATCTGGGTCTCCTTATGTAAATTTTTCTTTAGTCCAGTCATGCTACATGTACTCTGCGTCCCGCAGTAACAGCTTTGCTAGGCTGACAGTGCCTTTCAAATTATTAAAAGCGTAGGGTGCAAAAAGCTAGCAAGTCGGTATGCAGCCCCGTAAGGAAACCAGCAGGAAAAAGTCTCTTACCCAACTGCATAGAGGCGTCGGATGGGAGACTTCCAGCCCTGTTTCTCTGCCTGCTCTTTTATCAAGTATTCGGCATAGCGGTAGGTGACTGTGCTGGGTTTGCCAATCAAGGCCTCGTACTTCAGCTCCCGGCCTGTCACTTTCTTGTAGATGTTCTCCAAGCAGAGAAGGAAAGTACCATGGCCAAACCTGCTCCAGAAAGGAGGTCATCAGTATCTCCAGCCACACCACTTCAGCACAAACACTCCTCAGTGAGGAGAACCATCTGCTGTAGCCAGGGTACTGCCTAGTTTGGACACGGTATCTACACACACATGCCTCCATGGGCAGTGGTCTGGCTTTTGCTTCTTGAAAGTTTTAGTCTTTGTTTCGCATGCAGTTTTCATGTCTCTGCTGCTAGTTAAGCCATACAGGAAGATTCTAACACTGAAAAATGTAGTATGTAAGAAAAGATAATCTGCAGGAGAGATGTATGAAATAGGCTAAAACAAATACCACACGTGGTATTTCACCTGGGCATTTTGGCTTCGGCCATCCACAGGAGATCCATGTTGCAGGCGAGGACAGGCAGATGCGGGTAAGGTATATCTTGCGGCTCCGCCCCAGGGTTCCCGTTGCTCAAGAGTACGTCAATAATAAGTTGCAGGCTTGTCTCCCACCTCACTGGCTCACCAAACAGAATCACTCCTGGAAGATTTCAAGAGATGCTTGGGAACTCACAGCGTCCAAGTACAGGACCCACGAGCAAAAGCACCCCTCTGCTGGGATGCCAGGGCTTATATGGCTACCGTCCGAACACGGCTTGTGCCAGGGCTCCAGACTGCATATCACTGTACAACGTGCACCACTGCTTCCAGATGTTGGAGCATGGCACAGAGAAAAGTTGGCTTTGCTCCCATCAGCCGGTGCTTCACGCTGCATGAGGGCAGCGAGGCTGCCTCCTGACTGTACCCTCTGAATAAGCTGCCTGTGGATACTGACGAGCCAACAGCACATCATTAGCTCCCATCCCAGCTGGCTTGCCTGACTTATTTCTGCTTGCCGTTCATATGTAAACAAAGGCTACTGCTTACCTTCTATAGTAGGGAAGCCAGTGGTTGGAGGAGGCTGCCAGAAAAAACATGAAGGGCGGGTTAGTAATGCAAAACCTAAGACCATCCCCAAAGCAGTTCCCATAAAGAGGCAGGACAAGGCCACCTGGAATCCCGAAGAAAGATTTCCCCCACGCGCCCTATCCCAGATTGGATTTCACAGATCTTGCATTCCTGTCTTGGAGCTAGAGATGTCAACCAAACCATCTTACCACTCACTGCAAGGAACAGCAATGAAAGACAGGCATGGCATGAGAAAGGGAAGGGGAATTCACTGCCCTTCCAGCAGCAGCCAACGCTGGAAAGAGCACAGAGATGCTGGCTGCTCAGTACCAGTCCCAGGCTCTCACTAAAGAAAGTCACTAGCAGCCAGCTGATCTGTGCCTCTGCAGCTTCTCCGCCCCACGCTGTACGCTGTAAGCACCACCATGCCAGCCCACCCCTTCTGCTGATGCATCAGGAAATTACCAGCTCCTTTGGCCTCCGGCTCTGATCCACCATGTCTAAGAGGGGATATGCCTTCCTCAGTGCCTCGATGGTGACCACGTTGTTGAACCCCAGGCTATTTCAGACTATCAAGGAAAGTTGTGGAGACTGGGTTTTTTTAAGTGACTGGGTTTTTTAAGTTACTTGCAAAAGCATCTACAGGATTAAGGAACACAAGCCCTAATAGCAGAGCAGTTATTTAACCTGGTAATGCATAACCTCCTGGCTTTCAGTCAAACTGTATGCTGTGCTTCAACCTAAAGGTGGCCCCAACGGTTGCAAAAAAAAAAAAAACCAGACTGGGGTGATTTAGTTTGTGATCAGCAATCTCTGGAGTGAGGCAAAGAGCAGAGGTCTTTGCACTCCGAGACACAATGGATGTGCTTTGGGAGACCTTTAAGGCCAGCGTTGTCATACTGGTGCAGTGCAGGGGGCTGGTCAGGCTCCTTGGCTAGAAGCAGAATCAGTGAAGCTCTGGTCAGCTTAGCTAGTGAAAGGAAAATGATCTGTGCTGATACAACAATGCAAGTGAAGGATGAGTTGCATTTGCTTTCAGAACACTGCCCTTAGCTCACCCTACTGGCCTTGGGGAAAGAGAGACAGGTCAAGGTTTTGTCCCAAATGAAGTCAAATGTTAAGTACAAGGGGTGACGGTGTGCGCACAGGCTGAGACGTCGCAGACCCTGCAGGCAGTTCTCACCTCCTTGCAGACATGGGATACGTCAGACCTGCTGTGCCCTCGCCTCAGCCAGGCCATATGCATGTGGGATTGTCATTTAGACCATGTCCCTGTACTGGGACACTCTGGTTCTAAAGATATTTGAGTTCCCTCAATTGCTGTCAGATTCCTGGGGAAAACCTTAGCTGTGGGAGAGTTGGGAGTGGTCTCTAATGCATTAGAAAGAACGAGAAGGAGCACAATTTTATCTCAAAAGTGAGAGAGGCCCAAAGCAGATGGAGTCCTCACGGTGACATCTGACCAGCAGGAACGGCAAAGCAGCTCACAGGAGAGGTAATCGGCGTGAGAAGCCAAACACAGACCAAGGACAGCCAGGAGGTGACCAAGATGGAGATCAACAGTAAGCACCCGTGTTTGCGCCTCTCCACGAGGGTGCCTCCCCGCAGGAGGAGACCAACGGCCCTTCTGTTTCCTTGCGCTTCTACAAGCTGACCGAGCGAGTGCCAGGGGTGCGGGCAGCGGCGCGTAGCTGGGAAGCCGCAGCGGGACGCGCAGAGCACCGCCAGGGCCGCGCAGCAAAGGATACTTGTGGGCGTTCTCCTCCACGGGCCCCTGCCCGGCCACCAGCATGCGCTTGTGGTGGAACTGGCTGAAGAGCCGCAGGGGGCTGTGGGACAGGATCACCTGCTCCGGAGACACCTGCGGGCGGGAGGAGAAGCGGTCGGGGGACCCGTGGGGAAGATTTGCCCCCTTCTCCCTGCGGTGGGGTCGCACCCCTTCCCCGCGCTGCCACCTGCCTCCCTCCACCCCCTCAGGCCGAGGCAGGACCGGTCACTCCGTGGTGCTGCCGCCCCCCGCCCCTCACCCCTCCCGGGGAAGTCGCGCCGGGGGCGGGGGGGGGGCCTCCCATTTCCTCCTCCTCTTCCCGGTGTCCCAAAGCCGGGACACCTGAACGGGCGACGGCGCCGGGCCGGGAGGAGCCCGGCGGGGCGCCGGCCAGCCCCCGG